TATTCAGCATATAGGTTGAATAAACAAGAGGAGAGCATGCAGCCTTGTCGCACTCCTTTGCCAACCTGGAGCCAGTCTGTTTCGCCATGTTCTGTCCATAGTGTGGCTTCTTGACCTGTATATAAGTTTCTCATGAGGACAATGAGATGTCCTGGGATTCCCATTTTTTAAGCACATTCCACAGCTTCACATAATCTCTTCACGATCAAAGTCCTTTCTATAATAGATGAAGCACATACTGACTTCTTTTTGGTATTCTTTGGCTTTCTCAATTATCCACCATGCATCAGCAATAATGTCTCATGTTCCTCAGCCATTTCTAAAGCCACCTTTAACATCTGGCATCTGTTTTTCCATATAGGGCTCTAATCTGTGTTGGATAATCCTAAGCATTCTTTTGCTAGCATGTGAAGTTAAGGATATTGTACTATCATTTGCACATTCCATCACAAAAAGTCTCCATCTCCTTTTTTTGGTATTGGAATGTAGATTGACTTTTTCCAATCAATTGGCCACCATGTCATTCTCCAAATTTGCTGGCATAACTTGGTTATAACTTTGAATTATAACAGATTCTTCTTCTATTGCTTGCCATATTTCAGTGGGTATTGCATCAGTTCCTGTAGCCTTCTGACTTGGTCTAATGACCAGAGTGCCAATCTAATTTCATCTTCTAGTACTGGAGGTTCTTGTAAGTAGGGAATATCTTCTAAGGTATCTTGGATGTTGACATCTGTATTGTACAGTGTTTCAGTATACTCATTCCATCTTCCTTTGAATCGGTTACTTTCTGTCCATTGGAGCCCTTTAGCATACCAATTCGAGGCTGGAATCCCCTTCTGAGTTCAGAGATCTTTTGAAAGGCTTTTCTTGTTTTTCCATGTTCGTTTCCATCTTCAGTGTCTTTACAGATGTTGTTGTAATACTGCTTCTTCTCTCTTCTTAACTCTTAAGTTTCTTTTGGAGATTTTTGTCTTTCTTGGCTTTGGTTTTGGCTTCTCTTAAGTTTATGCCATAATTCCTCTGGTCCTCTATCAGTAAAGTTTAGGACTTCAAAGCAATTCCTGATGTTCCCCTTGAAAATGGGGGGTATATGTTCAAGATCATATCATGGAAACTGACTGATTTTCTTCTTCTTTAGCTTAACTTGGAACTTGCACGTGAGCAGTTCATGATCTGTTCTACAGTCAGCACCTAGCCATGTCTTTGATGCTATAATTGAGCTGTTCCACCTCCTTTTAGCAATAATTTAGTCAATTTGATTTCTACAATATATACTCCATCTGGTGGTGTCCATGTGTAAAGGTGTTGTTTTGGTTGTTTAAGACAGTGTTAGCTATAATAAGAAAAATATAAACCTTTAGTTATAAACAGGCAAGAACAGCTTTATTTTACTACTTGCCTTCAGGACCAATAACCATACAGATATACAGACAATATTATACAGGTACACAGACACAAGAATAACTTTAAACAACTGTAGCTATTGGGTGAATCCCCAGGGTCTTGAAAGTTTTGCTTAATTGAACCAGCACCTCTCTCTGTAGCTCTGTCTCACTCCACAGCTGGAAGAAGCTCCTTGCAAATTTACTTGTTCTGTCACTCTCTTCCAGCCATCCTCCCAAATTCAGGCAAATCTATTCCTCTTTCCCTTGGCCATGTGCCAATCCCAGCCAACACCTTGCTCACCTTTGGAATGAAATTTGCCAGCCTCTTATCTACATTGGCTGAGTATGCCAATTGATCTATGTCCTTTGCACCCCCAAAGTTGCCTGTTCCCCTTATCCATTGAGGAAGAAGCTGGGTGGGTATGTGACAAAAGCCATATTTCACTCATGGGATTGTGGACTGTGAGTCTGATCTTGCTGGCTGGCATGCAGGCTGTATTCACAACAGTGTCACCTGCAGATTTGATCATCATCATTTTCTAACCCTCATTCAAGTCATTTATAAATATATTGAAGAGCACTGGGCCTACAACAGAGCCCTGCAGTTTATCACTTGATACTTCTCTTGAGTTTGATGCTGAGCCATTAAGGGATACAATAGTTCCATCAGCTCTGTAACTATCTAATAGTAGCATTCTGCATCCCACAGTTTGTCATCTCCTGATAAATTTTGCCAAATGCTTTGGCAAGAGGTCGAGGATCATGCATTTTGGTAGTCAGCTATACTAATCACTAATCCTATCAAAAAGGAGTTCAGATGGTTTGGGCATAATTTATGGATGATGAACCGAGGATAGCTCCTGAAAACCAATGTATTCCAGTCTAAATGGTCACAAACCAATTGATTAGTCAAATAACAGAAACATAGTGTTGGAATATACCACTGAGGTCATCTAGTCCAACCTTCTGGTCCATGCAGGATTTCTGATAGATGGTTGACCAGCCTCCATTTGAAGACTTCCAGGGAAGAGGAACATACCATTTCATGAGGGAACATATTCCACTAGTTGACTCTCACTTTCAGGCAGTTCTTGTTCTTGAATCTACTGTACTTACCTTTAGTTTTAGGCTATTGGTTCTGGTCCTGTTGTCTGAGGTGCAGAGAACATGTCCATTATCTCCTCTATAGTGACAGTCCTTTAGATACCTGAAGATTGCTGTCATATCTCCCCTCAGTCTTTCATTCTGCAGGCAAAACATACCCAAATCCTTTAACTCTTCCTTACAGGGCTTGGTTTTCAGTCCCTTCTCCAATTTAATAGCTCTTCTCTGAATTCATTCCATTTGTCACTTTTGGGGAAAGATTTAATTTAATTTATTCAATTTAATATGGCCATCCACTCCAGAAAATTTTGGATGGCTTACAAAACCCACAGAAATCAGTAAAACAGTTAAAAGCCACATGAACAGGGAGCCCAGGCTAAAACAATTAAGATGACAAACAGTACAAAAATACAATGGGATGGCATTTGCTCTCTTCCAGTCTTCTGAACTTTGTGAGTCTTCCTGGAGTTCTCAAAATGATTAAAAGTGGTTCTGTGATCACCTCCAATAGGTCCCTGGGATATAATCCAACTGGCCCCAAATAACCAAATTAATTTACATTTGCTCAATTCTTTCTGACCCACTCCTTATCTATCCTAAGCTGCAGTTCCCTCATTTCCTCAGTAGCATAGGTGTGACCATCTAGAGCTCCATTTCCCTTCTGAAAGGACACCAAAGGTCTGCCTTCTGACCCTCAAAATGGCTTTATACCCTCTTTGGCTTCCCTTTTATTTCTAACATACCCAGAGAACCTTTTTTGTAGTTGTTGTTATCTGTGGTATCTCTTGCAAGCCTCAGCTGAACCTGACAGAGTTCCTACAGTTTCTGGTTACGACCTTGTATTCTGGTTTGTTATGTTCCCATCCTGACATTTCCTGTACGTTCCTTTTTCTCTTCAGTTTTTTAGAGAGTTCTGCATATATCCACAGTGGCTTGTTTAGTTCCCCCCCCGGCTCCCGTGTTTCCATTTTGTGGGGATTGTTTGCAATTGTGCCTTGTTGGAGAGAAAACTCATGAGTAGCACAGCTCCCTCTCCCTTCTCAGCTGTTTTTATAGCATGGTTCATCATCAACATGAACCCAATACTCAGTCTCCAAAAAGTTTATTTGTAAGAGTCTGCAGAGCCTAGTCAGTCACACAAAAGACACGAGCAACACTCCCAAGGTGAAAGACCTCCTCCCACCGCCAAATACAAGCTACATCTGCCTCACAAGAACAAAAAGACTCAAATTACATTATTGGTTACATGGTAGGTATCAAGCAGTCCATACTTGGATACAGGTAAAGTCATGGTAAGATAAGCATGCGTATTAGAAAAATATGCACGATGCAGTTTCTTATCTCTATTGTGCTATGTGCCAAGCAGTATCAAGTGCGCATTTCTCTATTTTCCTACAGCCTTCAGTATCTCATTTTATAGAATTTCCCATCTTTCCTAGAAACTTTCTCCTTCAGAATTTGGAAACCATTGGATCTGACCTGTCTTCCCTTGGAGTTCATCACAGTCTACTTTCCTGAAGTCTAGTATGCAGGTTTGACTCTTCACCATTCCTCCTTCTCTGGCTATCACAAATTCAAGGATACGGTGCTAGCGTTGCCCCGAGATACCATTCACCTTCCTTTCTTCCACCGCTTACTTCCTTCTTGCTTGTGAGGACGAGATCCAGAATACCGGACTCCTTCGTTCTGTCTTCCATCCTCTGACAAATGCCTAGTTCAGAGGCTTTAATTCTACGTGTGTTATCTGTTGTGTCAGGTTCTGGTGGATGAACCTCACAGACAGGAGTGGAACAGGACAAACCATGCTTGTGTGGCTTCCTTCCTGCTCTCTTCACTCCATGGCAACCAGTTTAAATTGGCCTTCAACAGTTCTATGAACTGTGACCCTCATTCTGATTCTCTCTGCCCCATTCTCCCTCCCTCCATTTACTAATTATTTTTAAAAAGCAAAATCTTCATATATTAAATGTGTGGTTCGGCTTTCACTACCCATAAGTGTGAATTGAGAACTGACATTTGGTTTTTGATGTTCTGAGGAACTGAAGGAGAAAACCTGACCTGAGAAGTAGCTTGGCCTAGTAAAATGGCTTCAGCTTGCTAAAAAGCACTGCCCTGGGACAAAAAAGCCCAACTAGAGGAACAGCCTGTGGGGACAATTGCAGTCTCCTTGGGGCACAGCCCTGGCAGCATGGAACAGTGTGAGAGAAGCTTTGCTCAGAGAGGGAGAGGGAACACCTGCCCTAACTTTGCCCCTTGATTTCCCTTTCCAAGTGTCTTTTAATTTTCCTTCTATAACTTGTATTAAATGGGCTCAGAGCTCTGCCAGGGCTGCTTCTGTTCCCTTCCTCTCCCCACTACCTCAGGCTTCTGTGTCTGTAGACACTCCACCTACACCTTCATACCCCTTGGACTTTCTAGCTGGGAGTCGCTAGGTCCCAATAGGATGGAGGGGGGGGTCCCTTCAGCTGAAGCACCTTAACTCTTCCCATTCTCTGTGTCCTTTCCAAGGCTCCTCGCACTCTCTGAAGTATTTCTACAGTGGCGTGTCTCAGCCCAACCAAAGCCTGCCCCAGTTTTTCATGATGGGCTACCTGGATGATCAGCTTGTTATTCACTATGACGAATACACCGAGAAACACCATGCATTCTCCTGGTTGGAGATTTTGGAGAAGGACCCCTACACTGAGCCTTTGTTTTTATATACCCTTTCTAAGGAGAATAGGCTCAGAGACTATCTGAAGGAAATGAGGAATCATTATATTCTGAGCAAAGGTGAGTGATGGGGGATGGAGTGGATTAATCTCCCCAGTATTTTCCTCCAAAAGTTACTTCCTCAGTTTGCATGTTACAACCTCTCTAGGTTGTTGAACAAAATATTTAATGTTATTCATTTTTTAAAACATTGATTCATTTATTTACAAGGTATATAAGGGTGCCCAACTCTAACAGTGTGACTCTGGGCAGCATACAGCATAAAAAACAATAAACCAACCTCCCCCCAGCAAATACTGTATATACAATATATAAATATAAAATACAAAATATAAAATGGCAACCAAGCAATGTAACAGAACAACCAAAAGGGGGCTCTCACTTAACTGGCCCCTAATGCCTGAGGGAAGAACCGGGTCTTTACCACTTTTTGAAAGAGAAGCAGAGTTGGGGCCTGTCATATATTGGGGGGAGATTGTTCCAGGGAATGATCAGAAAAGTCACTCTTTCTAGGTCCCATAAGATGACAAGTTTCCAAAGAAGGACCCTGGGGTGTGTGGAAGCATAGGGGGTGGGGAGATGTTCTTGGGAGAAAGCAGTCCCTCAGGTAACCCAGTCCTATGCCATGTAGCACTTTAAAGGTAATAACCAGCACCTTGAATTGCACCTGGAAGCCTATTGGAGGCCAGTGCAGCTTACAGAGTAGTAATGTTACATGGGCATAAAGTGATGCCCCCTTAACTATCCATGATGCTGCATTCTGGACCAGATGCTCTTCAAGGGCAGCCCAATGTAGAGTGCATTGCAATAGTCCAGTTGGGAGGTGACCAGGGTGTGAGTGACCATGAGCAGGGTCTGCTGGCATAGCTGGTCCAGAAGTATACCATAGTTGACGGTATTGAAGGTCACTGACAGAACAAGGAAAACCAGGATGGACGCATCATCTCCATCCTGAGCTTGCCATGGGTCATTGACAAGCATGACTAAGCCATCTCTGTACTGTACCCCAGTTTGAAACCTGACTGGAAAGGGTCCACGTAATCCACTCCCTCCAGGGCCCTCTGAAGTTGGAGGATGACCACCTCCTCAATAACTGGAGACCAGATGAAAATTGTCCAGATTGGCTGGGTCCAAGGATGGTCTTGAGAGGGCACACCACCGCCTCTTTCAGAGCCAGAGGGACCATCTCCTCTCTCAAGGGAGGCATATAAGACCTCATGGATCCACCTCATGGTTAGCTTTGTATTACAGAGGTGGCTGCAACCATAGCTCCAAGGACCCTGTCCCCTTCCTCAGGACCAACAGGCTTGAACTTCTTGTAGATAACATCACAAGACCACTCGTTCAACAACTAAAGTTATGACAGCACTGAATGAGGGGGACTTAACAACCAGTCCTCGGAGTTCTAACTGTTGCAACAAGCCACAGTCACATGATCACAATTTCTGATGTTCCTTACTGGCTTCCCACAAGCAAAATAAATGGGGAAGCTGGCAGGAGGTCACTAGTTATTTCTACTCCTGCTGCTTTTTCACCCATCTGTGCTCCATAGTGCCTGCCCGTGGCACCTCCTGTGGCACCTGCACACCCACCCATGTTCCATAGCACCTGCCCATAGCACCCCCTGTGGCACCTGCACACCCACCCATGTTCTGTAGCGCCTGCACGCCCCCTCCTGCCCATAGCTCTCACCCACTGGCCTGCTTGCCTGGAATACCCACCTCTTCCTGCTTAATGACCCACACAGTCCTGGGATTATGACAGCAACCAGGATTGATGTCGCTAAGCGATGTAGTCACATGATGTTGTGCTTTACAACTGCATTGCTTAGCGACAGAAATTTCAGTCCCAATTGCTGTCATAACCCAAGGGCTACTTGTAAACTAATGACAACAGGTAAAGCAACCAGCCTTAGAATTGGCAATGAAGATATCAAAGTGATGGATAGCTTCTGCCTTTTAGGATCAACCATCCAGTAAAGGAACAAGTAGTCAAATACACCACAGGCTAGCACTTGGTAGAGCAGTCATGAAGGCCTTGGAAAAGGTTTTCAGATGCCATAATGTGTCTGTATCTATAAAGATTGGAATCATGCAAGCCATGGTATTCCCTGTGACATTCTATGGAAGCAAAAGTTGGACTTTAAAGAAGCAGGATAGGAAGATTATTGATGCCTTTGAACTTTGACATTGGTGAAGACTCCTGAGAATACCATGGACAGCCAAGAAAACAAACCGATGGATCATTGAACAAGTCAACCCAAAATTCTCACTTGAGGCATAAATGACCAGGTTCAAACTATCCTACTTCAGACATATTATGAGAAGACCTAGCTTCTGGAGATAGCGCTAATGCCGGGAAAGGTAGAAGGAAAGAGAAGAGGACAACCAGCAGCAAAGTGGAGGGACTCAGTTATAGCAGCAGTGAGTGCACACTGTTAAAAGACCTCAAGGGCCAGGTTAGGGACAGATCATCATGGAGAAAAATCTGTGTAGTCACTAAGAGTCGACACTGTCTTGGTGGCATATAATCAATACAAATTTATGGTGCAGCCACATCTGGAATGCTATTATAGTTCTAGTCACCACATCTCAAGATGATTAGGGGCCTTGAACACACTCTCTATGAAGATAGCATGCAACAGTTTGGGCTGTTGAATTTGTGCAAAGGCCTTCTTAGCCACAGCTAGCATCTTGGGTGGCAAGAGGCTGGCCCAAGGTCACCCAGCTGGCTCCCTGCCTAAAGCTGGACTAGAACTCATGGTTTCCCAGTTTCTAGCCTGGTGCCTTTAACTGCTACACCAAACAGCTCTTAAAATTGTATGATGCCCAGGGTCGTGATTGAGTCCAGTAGCCTTGCAAATTTGATCAATTAAACATGTGCATTGTTTGCATCATCTAAGTGATTCCATGTATTAGATTTGAAGAGTGGTTATCAGGGTTATATATTGTCCCTTCTAATATCTGATTAGAAGAACCAGAGCCCCCATCCTTTGCAACCTCTGTAATTGCAAAGACCAGCGGGGGGAGGGAGGGGGGAGGCATCTTATCAGAGCATCCCAAGGCAGGTGGAGGGTGGGGTGAGGGAAATAAAGGCTTTTTCCTTGCTGAGACTTTCCTCTTGCAGGGAAAGTTGTCTCTGAAGTAGTCTTCAGCTTCCAGATGAAGGACTTCGGAATCTGCTGATGAGATCTTTGCGGGGAGGGGAAGGGTGGGAGGGAAATATGGGAGGTGAGGTCTGCTGCAGGGAAGGTGCAATTTTGTCTGGATGCCTACAAAATATGATCCAGGGAGTGGTGGGGCAGCTTATCCAGAAGATCCTGAAATAAAAATATTTCATTTTTCAGCCATGTTCATCTATTATTTCCCTTCCTCAGTCCTGAAGTAAAAAACACTCTTATAAGGACTTCTTGTGTCCCTTTCAGAACTTCTCACATGGCAGTGGACGTACAGCTGTGAGAACGAGAACAACAGCGATCAGTTTTGGCAGTTTGGGATTGGCCACAATGGGAGTAGCTTCTTCAGCTTTCACAGGGACAACCTCACCTGGGTGGTAACTGATCTCCAGGCCCAGGTCACTGAGAGGAGGCAGGATATTGACCATCTGTGGTTCATCATCGCAGAAATTTTCTGCTTTGACTTGCTACGTGTCTACATGGAGCACAAGGAGTTTCAACTTCAACTTGTCAGGGATCAAAGTATGGACTTTCCTCCTTTATCTGTAAATTTTCTGTACCCAAATAATATATAAGTTTGAAGGACCATGTTGAAATGCAGCCTCTCACCCATCCCCCTTGCCCTGCAAAGCTAATGAAGCAGGACAGTCCTGCCCCTTCCTTCTCCTTCAGGGACAGATCCAGCCTGAACGTACAAGAGAAAACTCCTTGATCCAGCCATGATTTGCTGGAGGAAAATCAACTTTATGTGGAAAGGCAGCTCTGTGTGGAATTCACCCCACACCCCACCCCTTGCCCAAAACCTCTGCCCTTGAAGAATCCCTCTCTTACATGGCATACCTTGCTCTGCTTTCTGTGACATAACCGTGTTTTCTAAAGCTAATCAGTGGAGAATTACAAGACACCAGGGACTTCATTTGGATTCAGGTTTTCCTCCTCTTGAAATTCTGACTGCATTGGCTAGAAGAAGGCCCATAGTTGTCTCCTTGAAGGAGAACATGGAGAGGGGAGCCTTCCTTTTCCCCATGGAGGAACCAAAAGATGGTAAACATGGGAAAGCAAAGAGCAAGTCCAAGGGAAGGGGACAACCAAAAGTGGTCAGAGGTCAATGTAGTCTGAATTAGTCTTACTTTAGGACCCTCAGTTTGAGGGATCTTAACCAATGGAGGTGAGGAAACTTTTCCTTTTTAAATGGGGTTGAACCCATTGGGTTTCAAAGGCTTGGAATTAAAAGATCTTGTGATTGAACATTTTCTAGCTTTTTTGAGCATTTTCTACTGTTGAGGTTGCTGCAAGTAAGGAATGTTTAATCTCTAAGGTGGCCAAGTGGTATCTTTTCCTGCCTCTGAAGCTGCTCACCATAACCCTCTGGAGAGCCACAATGTTAATTCTGATGCTGCCATTTCTACAGAGCCTCCAGTGGTGACGATAACCAGTAAGATAGAGCCTGATGGTATGGAAACCCTCACCTGTCATCTGAATGACTTTTACCCCAACAAGATCACTGCCAGCTGGATTAAGTATGGAAAGCCACAGAAAAACTACCTTGAGACACCAACCTACACCCAGAATGGGACCTTCTATGCCTGGCTCAGCATTACGATCAGTCCCAAAGACAGGCACCGCTACCAATGTCACGTGGAACATAATCGCCTGAAGAAGCCTCTCGATGTGGTCCTAAACAGTGAGAGAAACAACTTCTTTTCCTTCCTCCCTTCTGGATTGGATTGGATTGGATTGGATTGGATTGGATTGGATTGGATTGGATTGGATTAGATTAGATTAGATTAGATTAGATTAGATTAGATTAGATTCTTTCTCAGGCTTGAGGATTATAGAAGATGAATTTCATGCAGGTTAGTTTTCTGTTTTATGTGGTTGTTTCCATATAATTTGGAGTTATTTTACAGAAATTTGCATTATTCCATCCCACTATTAGCTAAGCATTGATGAGATCAGGAGTGTCCACAAGGTATGGTAAAAAAGAGTCAAGATGGCAGCTGTGACAATGCAATTGACTTTTAACCTGCAGAGACTCTTGGATGATAGATTTCGATACGATCTTTTAAGGCACATCCATGCAGCCTGCTTACTGTGGCACATAGAAGCCCACTTTTTGCTTTGATGTGGCCTCACAGCAGGGCCTCCATCTCATGGGCAGCCCTTTGCCAAGGCAGGCTGGAGTTAGCCTAAGGGCTTCTGGCATTAAGGTTGTGTTTTCCCTGGGAAAACAGAAGAAAATATCCTGTCCAGACAATTATTGGCAAACGGAACAAAAGACTTGAGATGATATGGTCAGGGGTGGTGATCTGTTTGGCGTGCTGTGGGAGATTGCTCCCTTTTGCTAACTAACCCTGTCAGTCCCTTCCTCCAATGCTGGTTTGGCTGCTAGTGGCTCCAGCTTCTTTAGCCACTTCCTTTCTTGTTTTGTTTTAAAGGATTAAATCAAAAGGCTGATTTAGAGAGTGCAGACTGGCACAAAGCTAGTAAAGGAGGACAGTCTGTCCCTCTCCTGTCCTCCTCCTCAGCTAGATCTAACCTGGATTGGTTGAGCTGATCTTGCTCGGGTGGGTGGGGGTGTCTTGGAAGGTTTTGGAATCAGGAGCTCTCATGGTTGATTATTTTTAAGTTTTGGAGCATTTTCTGAACTTTTGAGGGTGCCATTTGTGGATAGAATTCAGTAGCCAGATAGGATGTTTTCTTGCTCTTAAAAGTTTTTCATCCAACATGATGATGATGATGATGAAGAAGATGGTTGGTCACACAGTCAGCCAGATGCTTAGACTGGACTTGGCATTTTCATCCACCCATCAAGTCCTTCCCAAGGACCTGGAATAGGCTTATTATTATTTAGTATTATTTATTAAATTTATATTCTGCTGACTCCCATTGACTCACAAAGTAAAAACACCGAAAAATAACAGTACAGCAATAAAAAATGAACAAAAGATAGCAAAAACTGAGCAACATCAAGGGACACACCCACACTACTCAGAATGGGCTTCAGTCACCCTCGCCAAAACCCTGGGCAAAAAAGCTCGGTCTTCAAAGCCTTCCAAACACCAGTAGGGTGGGAATCATCCAGATTTCAGGGGGAAACCTCTTTCTAGAGGGTAGGTACTACAACAGAGAAGGCACATTTCCAACATCCTGACAGATGGCATTGTTTAACTGAAGGAACCCGTAGTGTGCCAACCCTGCCAAATCAAATTGGTGGGGCAGATACCATGGGAGACAAGTGGTCCCTCGGGTAATCCTATGCCATGTAGGGCTTTATCAGCATTTTGTATTGCATCCAGAAGCAAACCGAGGCATAACCATCACTGCCTGCACCACTGCATTCTGGACTAGTTGTAGCTTCCTGGTGGTTTTCAAGGACAACCCCACATAACCACATTGCAGTAGTCAAGATGCAAGCTGATCAGGGCATGATTGAGTGTCGAAAGGGCCTCCAGATCTAAAAAAGGGTGCAACTGGCCCACCAGATGAAACTGCAGGAGCTGTGAGTCCAGGAAGACACCCAGATTGTACACTGTTCTTCATGGGGAAGTGCTACCCCATCCAAGGTTAAAGGTGGAACATCCCCAGGTCTGGGTGGCCCAAACATCCACAGCTACTCAGTCTTGGTAGGATTGAGACAGAGATGGTTCGTCCCCATCCAAACCTGTATAGCCTTACTTGGCCGGCTCAGGGTCAAAATATGTCATTTCAATTTTGTAATATTTATAATATTTGTATACCAGCTTCCAACATATAGAAAGCTTCAGTATTAATTGTGATACTGCCCTTTCTGCAGAGCCCCCAGTGGTGACGGTGAACAGCGAGATAGAGCCTGATGGCATGGAAATCCTCATTTGTCATCTGGAGGGCTTTTACCCCAAGAAGATTAATGCTTTCTGGAAGAAGGATGGGAGGATTTGGCACCATGACACCGTCAGTGGAAGTGTCACCCCCAGCCTGTATGGGACATACCGCCAGTGGCTTAGCATCAGAATCGATCCCATGGAGAGGGACCTCTACCGATGCCATGTGGAGCATAAGAGTCTCCAGGAGTCCCTGGATGTGGCTGTTAATGGTGAGAGATTTTATAAGGGCTTGGGTTTTTTCAAGGCAGAGAACGATGGGAAATACATTTCATCCCAGCTATTCAGCCTTCTTATCTGTTATTAATTAGGTGTTTAGAGGTGGACTTGCTCTCCCAAATCTCTCTCTTGCAACAACAACAACTAAAATCTAATTGGCTTAAAGACTGAATTGAAACCCAAAAGGGGAAAGACAAAATACCGATTAGAAAGCTTGGGGAAGCAGAGATAAAAAGTCTTGCTGCACTGCCCCACCATCATCTATATAAATATCAATGTTTAGAGTTCTGTAGCAATTTACAATTATTTCTCAAGATGATATCATGGGTCTAGTTTTATATATTCAATTATTTATTTAATCAGTGTAATAATGAGTGTTAAATGTTATGACAACTGTAAAATATATTCAAAAATATAAAGTCATATTAAATAAATCTTAAAGCAACCCTAAGACCTACTTAGGCATTACTCTAATTTCCTTCCAGCACCCTTGAAGATCATAATGCCTCACTAGGGCCATCACTCTGCTGTAAGGAACTGATACAAAATAGGCAGAGGCAGAGGTAGAGATAGAACCAGGGTTGGAAGCTTTACAGAGGGAGATTCACTTTTTAGTTTAAAGCAAAAGCTGGGCAGCCATTTGTGTGGTATGGTATGAAGAAGACCAACTCCCTGCTAACCCTAAACCAAAAAATTAGTTTTATTCAATATTTTAAATGACAGGTTCTCAACAAGCCTCAGTAGAGGTAAAGCCAACTTGAAGTGGAGAACTGAATTAGAGATGCAGTGAAGGACACAGATCAATTTTGTTTATATAATTTCCAGCAAGAGGCTCAGCACATTTGCTCTAAGCAGCTTGCCAGCAGCTGCTGGAGCAAAAGTATTGCTGTTAAATCTGGCAGAACTTATTATAGCGTTTGAAGCCTTCTGGGCATGGATTCAGCAATCGCAAGTTTGATATCTCCAGGTAATGGAGGACTGAGAGCAGATTCCCTGGTGTTTAAATACACACAGACAGGATCATAAAGGTACAAGAATAACTACAAAGACAGGTAGTCCTCAACCTACAACTATTCGTTCAGCGACCAAAGCTACAAAGGTGCTGAATGAATGGTAGTTATGACCAGTCCTCAGAGTTCCAGCCGCCCCAGCACCCTCACAGTCACATAATCGTGATTTGGGCACTTGGCAACCAGTTTGCATTTATGACCAGTTGCCAAAAGCCTTGCGATCATGTGATCACCATTTGCAACCTTCCCTGCTGGCTTCCCCAGAGAAGACTGCAAGTCACTGTGGCAAGTCTCCCCCACCCACACACCCTTCCCCAGCCCTCTGTGCTTGCACCGCGCCAGCCACTTGCGCACCCCGTGTGCTCTCATGCGCCCTCCCCGACCTTCTCATGCAATCTCATACACCCTCCCCAATCCATGCTGCACCCCTGAGCACCCTCCCCGACCTATGCCATGCACCTGCACCATACCCCCATGCACCCTCCCAACCCTCTCACACACCCTCATGCACACTCCCCAACCCTTTTGCGCACACCCATGCACCCTCCCCCACACCCCTTCACTCCTTCCCCCGCCTGGCAGCAGCCACTTACCTGCCTGCCAGCTTGGGACTTGCAACTTCTTGACGTCTTCCTTACTGACTTTGGTTGTGGGAAGCTGGCAGGAAGTTGCCTCGTCTAACGACCATGGGATTCAGTTAGCAATGGCAACCAGGACTGCAGGGATATCTGTCACTGTGTGATGCGGTCGGGTTTTGTGACCGCATTGCTTAGCAGCAGAAATTCCGGTCTCAGTTGCTCTTGTAGGTCAAGGACTACCTGTAGCCCTGTTATTGAACTCAAAGGGATGAATCTCATTGTGTCCTGCAGAGAGATCTGTTTAAAACTAACAGTTCAGATAGCGGACTTAGCAGCTTCCTTAAAGGTGCAGTAAATGTCTAAGGCACAGTAGTTCTTTAAATAATCCATCTCTCCTCTTTTCCTTGCAGAATGCCCACGGCACAGCCCTCTGCAAAGGCCTCATGTGGCTGTTTCTCTCACTCGGTTTATGGCTGCTCACTTTCTCCTTCCCCCGGCTTGACCCGTCTGCATCCAATCCACACCTCCTCCTTTTGGCTTGCTTCAATCCTTCCATCACTGCACCACTAAATGATTTCTATGGCGGTGTAACTCACCAGCCTCTCTCTCTCTCTTTCCACATTGGCCAAGCTGCTCCTAAAGGATACTCCTAAATCCTTTAACAACTGCACACTGCACACGCACACACCCTGCAAGCTCTCCTTCTTCTTGGCTTCAGGGAGTGGAATCCCACCTAACAAACTACTACAGGAACCTCCTTAATCTTTTGCTCACTCACAGGTAGATCTTTCTCTCTCTCTTAACCTAAACATCTGTCTCTCATCACTATTGCTTTATGTTGCCTGTCTATAGATATCATTGTCTCTCATTCCAAAGTTCAGACTTAAAATGGATTTGAGCGTGACCTGAACCTAGGGAAAATAGCTCCTTCACAGTAAGAGCAGTTCTTCAGTGAATCGGTTATCCAGAGCAAGGTGGGCTCTCCTTTGGATGTGCTCAAGTGGAGGCCAGACAACCTGGGATAAGGGGGGGATCAGTGTGCTAAAAAGCCCTACAACAGGAATTACCCCAGGTATACCAGCAAGGACCTGCCTAGCTTCCCCATTTCCCACCCTGTAGCCTTCAACTTCTATGAAAATCTTTGATTTCCCATTGTTTGGTTCATAAATACTTCATTCGGTGTGAATAAATCAATGAAATCTGTGATGTAAAGTGTTTGATATCTCCTGCCACATAAAGATGTTTTAATTTTTTTTTTTAATGTTGTGGATTCCCCAGTCTTTTGGCTGCTTTAGATCTACCTCCTAATGGCTCAAGAATTTTCTGGTTTCCTTTTCAAAGATTTGCTTTTTCTTCCAACTCACCTCTAGAATCCAGCTTGATGCTCATCCTTGGTTGTGTCTTCACTGTTCTTGTTCTAGTGGTTGCGATTTCTGGGCTTTCACTGCATATCAGTAAGTATCCTGTAAATACTTTTTTTTTTCCAGTTTTGTCCAGACTGTCTTCCTGTTGGGCCATAAACAACTCAGAGGTAACATTTAAAGTTTTGGCTTCTTGCCTGGGAATCTAGTCTTTACTCACCTTAGTCTAAGGTTAAGATAGGATCTCTACTTCTTTCTGGAGTTGGTAGAGGCATTGCAGTGCTAGTCCTTCAAAGGTTTTTGGTGAAAAGCAGCAGAAATATTGTAATAAAAATCTCTCTTTCCCAGCTGCTTCTACTGCTTCCCCCAGTTTCCCACCATCCATTCTAGAGGCAGCAGGCTTCCCCCGGAGCAAATCAGGAGGTGCATTTGTATTTTGAAGATCTTCCTGTTCCTGCTAATAGTAGACTGGGAAAATATTTCCCAGAAGCTTTCCTTTGTAAAGGATGAGATTGGATGATCTTAGATCCCTGCTAAGTCTGACTCTCTAATGTTTATATTTGCAGAGAAACTTCAAGATGGCTACAAAGCAGCATCAGGTGAGCAACCAGTCCTCTTTGCATTTCATTCCAACTTTGGGCAGATATCAGGCACAGCATCGCTTGAGGAGCAACTGTACATCCAGGCTGAAAGGCAGAGTTATGCTGTCCTACAGTTCCTGCCAACAAGTAAGCTAGAGAAGGCAGGTCCCTTCTTTTCCTCCACAGCCAGGCTACCCTCAGAATAAAGGCCCCAAGAAGAGACATAGAATTGTAAGGCAAGAAGGGACCTTGCAGATCTTCTAGGCCTGATCTCTGCCCACATGCTCTGAAGAATACCCAAGAAAATCACGGTGGGAAGAAAAGACATCACCCTTCCTGCTTGAGAAGCTGTTCAATATGGCCTGGATGCTCCATCAAAAGTATGGACAAAAATACAGGCAATTAGAGAAACAGGGTTTTGGTGGATGCCAGCTAGATCAGCTCCTGGTCTCCTACAGAAAAGGCTGCTCTTAGTATAAACTGACTGAGTGCATAGATTTATTTATTAGAGTTATATCCTGCTTTTTATAGAGGGGTCAAGGTGGCTATGTAGTACTCCCTCCCCACCACCACCACAACCCTGTGAGGTAGACTGAGATGAGAGAAGAGAACTGGACCAAAGTCCCCCAGGGAGCTTCCATGGTTGAAGGTGGACTAGAACTTGGGTCTCCCCACTCCTAATCCGGCACCTTCACCAGTATCCCATGCTGGCTTGTAAAGGTTAAGAACTCTTTCCTGTGTATATTTTGCATCTCTAACTAAAGCAGTTACAGGCTGGAATCTCTGTATGGTAGGGAACTGGCATCAAAACTTGCTAAATGTTGCTGTCCCTTTACACCGACGAGAAGACACTGACCTCCAAGCCTTATTTTCTCTCTTTCCAGCAAGTGATGGAGAGATAAACAGCTCGGATGGGTAAATGCGAGGGAGTCCACCTTAGTGCCAAGAGCCCTACTGTCTCATGGTGAGATTGTTGGGGAACGAAGAACAAGAGAATATCCTACCTGAACAGAATGTGTTTCTTGGATGGAAATGGGATACTTTATTTATTTATTTATTTATTTATTCATTTTATATATCAAATTTATATCACCGCCCAACTCCTCCACAAGGAGGGACTCTGGGTGGTTCATAACAAAACAATTTAAAAA